AAGCTTGAAATTTTGAATATATAGACAATGATTAAATAAGATTATAGAATTAATTAAATTCTGAATTTGATTTTATATTTATGCAAGCAATATAACAAGAATATAATAAAAAGTTTATCATATTCTATAATTGATTTAATTTAGCAAGTAATTTAATCACCAATTTGTGATTAAATTACTTGTAAAACAGAATTAATTATTTATGAAAGTAGCATTAATGTTAGTAAATTCTCTATAAATAAAGAATAAAAGTTTAATAGTTCTCTATTCGCAACTTTAATTTTGTGAATTGCATTGTAATTATAAGTCAGGATCCAATTTTAACTTACTCAAGAAATCAAAATATTAATGAAACACTATATGATGAACTCGATAATTCAGATATTAATAGCGATTCAAATTCTAATAATGAACATGAGCTTGAATATGAACAAGAATCAGATTATTTTGATAAGTTCGAAATAGCTCAAGATATAGAAAGTCTAAATAATTTTGATAATGTTGAAAATACTCAAGAAATCAAAAGCTTTGATGTTGAAATACATAGCAGTACATCAATACAACAATATAAAGATTCTACAAAAAATACTTCATTAAATAAATGATCATCTTCATATATATGGGATTTTTTTACAATTCTTGCCACTAAGCAATGTTAATGCAATCATTATAAAAAAATATATAGTCAAAAAACTGCAACAAGTTTACTAGATAGACATATTCAATCTCACCATACTGGGCTATATAATAATTTTCGACAAACTTCATTAGATTTTTACTTACATCCTACTCCATATCCACGTGATATTTAAAAAAAAAAATCTACTCTTTTGATTAAATGGATTGTAGTTAATTTACAATCTTTAATAGTTGTTAATAATTTATATTTTAAAGAATTTATTTATGAGCTTGATCCATGTTTTCAAATTCCTTGTTGTCAAATTATTCATAATTCAATTATCTCTAAATTTAATTCTCAAAGAGATGCAATTAAAATTTTCTTTTCTACAATTACTAGTAAAGTTACATTAACTACTGATATATGGAGTTCTTGTACAATGACTAGTTTTATGGCAGTTACTTGTCATTTTATTGATAATAATTTGACTCTTTGTCATATCCTTTTAGATGTTTTTGAAATACCTTCTCCTCATACTGGTCAGGCAATTGCAGATGCAATTTTATTATTTTTAAATAAGTTTAATTTAGAAGGCAAAGTTTTAGCATTAATATCTGATAATGCTAGCAATATTATTTTAGCTAGTAGTTTAATCAAAGATGCACTTGTGAATAATTTTTTAAATACTTCTTTTTAGCATATTTGTTGTGCTACACATATTATAAATCTTGCTATAAATGAAGGTTTAAAATTAGCAGATATTCATTTAATTAAGCTTCGTAGCTTAATTAAAAAGATTAGAAAATCAGTACTTTTAATTAAAGATTTAAAACATATTGCAGCATCTTTTGATCATAATTTTTTGCATCCAATTATTGACTGCAAAACTAGATGGAACTCTACCTTTAAAATAATAGATCGTGCACTAATTTTACGTATTGATTTAGAATCTTTTGTTATATGATATTCAATATTACAAGATTTACGACTAACTAATGATGAATGGACAATTCTTTTAGTAAATAAATTTAATATAATTTTATAAATTTATAATTATACTAATAAATTTATTTTAATTTAAATAGGGGCTACGTGATTGTTTAAAACCATTCAATACAGCAACAGAAATACTTTCAAAATCTAACTATCCAACAATTGCTAATTTGTGACTTATTATTCTTGGTTTACATAATTATCTTAGCACCTATCATAATAATCAGCAAAATTTAAATTTGATAACATATCAAATTAAAGAAAAGTTAGAT